CTGGGATTTTGGGTTTGAGCCATGGAATGATTTACCAACCTTGCAGAAAGAACAAGAAGTCACAAAAGTTTAGATATTAGAGTAGAAGTAGTCACAAAGTAGAGGCAAGAATTTCTGAGTGCTGTACAGGGGGGTTTTGGTTTTGTACATGGGAGTCAGAAGTTTTAAGATGGAGGGATTTGGGCCTGTCCTGTCCTCCCTCTCTCTTCTTCCTTACCTCCATGTTCTTGGTGATGTTGGCACTTACAGATTGGTTTAGAGTAGAAAATCACCATTTAATATAGGTAATAGGCACTGGGGAAAAACTGCAAACATGTAACATGTAATGTACCATATAAAAGATAGAAAATCACCATTTAATATAGGTAATAGGCATTGGGAAAAACTGTAAACATGTAACATGTGATGTACCATATAAAAGACAGCAGCAGCCCTGGTGGGGAGAGAAGAAGCAGTCGGGGTCAGAGAGGATGTCAGGGTGTGTGTGTGCCTCTGCCTGAGCTGGGAGCAAACCACAGCAGCCCCAGAAGAAAATCTTTTAGATAACTTGCAATAAACTGCCTTGAGACCCAACAACAGAGACTGCTGAGCTTTTCTTTGGAAGCTCGGGTGGGAGGAGAGACTTTTCCAGCACATGGAGCCACCCCTGACCCAGGGTGAGCTCTGGCAGCTCCGTCTGTACCTTCATACAAATTCCCCTCCTGACTCACATTTGCTTCTCATCTGGAGCTGGAGCTGGAGAATTCAACACATTGCTCCTTCCTAGAGTTAAATTTTCTCTCAATAACTGGCACATCATTACATTTAATGAAATGCCTACACTGAGATCAATCTGTTGATAATTTCCAGGACTGAAATCCTTAAAATTGTCTTTCCTTGATTACTGCATTTTAAAAATCCACAAAACAAACAAACACCACATCACCACCAACAAAAATAAAGTTCTTAAGCATACAGATTTTTCAGTTTATCTTACAATGATGAACTCCAGCCAGATGGTCTGACACAAGTATCTGTGGGTTAGAAACCATGCACAAACATCACTGACTTCTGTCACTTTTCTTCACACCTTTTTTCCAACTTGGGTCATAGTGAGGACCTGCCTTGAACTTTTTTAAATTTGTGGTGAGGAAGAAAGGAACAAAACCAAACAAAACATCATCCCAAGTCCTGGAAAATACCATAAAACATCAAAAACATTGCAAAAATATAGATAGCATTTTGCAGTTTACAGTCACAAGCAGATCTCCAGAAATTGTTTACACTGATGGCATGAGAACAACAGAAGTTAAACATGCTTTAAGCAAGCTAAGGCTAAATGACTGTCTCTGTTTTCACATCCAGATGGCTGCTTGCTAGAGCCTAAGGAAATGAGAAAGGGGACAATGAAAGTGCTAAACTCATAAAAACTGAAAGTCTCTAAAGGAACACATTTTGAGAAAAAGTCACTATGATTTGCCACTTCCTTCCTCAGCCAGCTCTCACAGGCCCTGTGAGCCTAACAACCCACGACATGATCTGTTCAAGCTCATGGACAGGTGTCCCCTAATCCCCCACTCAGTTGCACAATCCAAAAATAAAAAGTTAAGGAATGAAGGAGAGAAGGAAGGAAAAGAAGTGTGGGTCCCCACTAGGCTGTTACAAAACATCCTTCTTTTCTCTTCCAGGTAACCTGGCTTAAAAACCATTTACATGTCCAAGTTTTTAACCCTCCACCTGAAGTTCCCTGAAAAAGGAACTCCAAGTGGAAAACAATTGCTGTGAAGTATCTCCTCCCCTGTTCCCCACCAAATCAGGGTACTGCACATCAAACTGCACTCTGCAGTGACAGCAGTGTCTATTTATACCTTTGGACTCCTCAAGCACTACAAAACCACAGCAGATATAGAGAAAAGAGAATGAGGACTTCGGAGTGTCTCGAATGTTTCTACAATACCAACCTGAAGTCTGCCACATTGAGAGCAACCCATTCTAGCTAAAATCCACACATGCACACCTGAGCAGACCCCTGTGCAATGGGAAGCTGTGTCTGACCAGCAGAATATTTCTACTTCTACCATCAACAATGAGATTTCAGATCTAGCTAACTGGCATCAATAAAGCGACCATTTCATTTGAAACTCAGAAAATTCCCTCTAGAAGTGGAGAGGCAACAAACACAGAACTCCCTAGAGTGATTTTCAGAATGGTTTTTCTTTCCTCACTCCAAATAAATCTAAGTTCGATCTTCTGCTCCAACAATTCCGTGTAGGATCCAAGTTAGAAATGGCTATAGCTCAACAGTCATTAAGCTGAGACCATTCATTAGTGCATAGATGATTTCTTACATGAAGTCTTGCTTCAGGAACAAGATGCTCAAAAGAGCAATTAAGACAAAGAAAGTATTCCCAGTGCAAATATTTCTAATTTTGTCCTGAACTGACACTGAAGGATTCCTAGCAAAGCCATCTCTTCCTGTTCTCTGAAGAGCAGGCCAGAGGCAGAGTCTCAAACCAGTGGGAATCTCTTTTTATGGTGTATTTAACTGGCACCTCAAACTTCTTTTTCCTGCAAACGCAGTGATTTAAACACAACAAGACCCAATCCAAAGAGCTAAACTAAAATAAAAAGGTAAACCTCTAATCCTGTTTATCAGACCTCAAGTGTCCTCTCTACCAATTGAGTGAATTCTTACTCATTTCTGAGTATTAATTTCATATTGCTTCAGGATGCATTTGTGTGTCAAATTGTTTTTAAAGCTGGAGTTTGTTTTTCCTAAAGAGCTGGCATGCCAGTTAGCACAGACATGAATAATGCTCGGCCTCCCAGCAGCACTGTGAAATGCAAGGAGTGTGGAGGAGGCAGATCTGCAGCAGTGCCAGCTCCACAGCCCCAGTAACCCTAACTCGAGTTCACCCATCAGGGTGATCATTTGCTGATCCACAGGCAATAAAAAGGTTCTGGTTTGAGCTCAGAGCTGTTTACTGCTGCTGATATTGAATGCTCTGGGAGGGGAGGAAGAGCAAAGAGGAAAGCATCTTCAGGCACCACCAGGGCAGGTGTATGTGCCACGTGGGGAGGGCTGTGCCAGGTGATGAAAGGAGCAGAATGTGCCAGGAGGCTGGAGATGTGTGTGTGGCACTGTAGGCTGCCCAGAAAGTCCCCTCCTCTTAAGGCAATCAATACTGGGAGAGAATATATTTATATATTATTATATTTTATATTATTTAGCTACCTATCTATAGCTCTCTGATTAAACACATGAATTTTACCTTTTTGTTTTCCATTATGCCCATTTGATATGTTAACTACAGACACATATCTAGGTTTGGTGGTGGGGTTGGTTTTTTTGCTGCTGTCATCTTTGAGGGTAGGTTGTTTAGGTTTCCTTTTTCTTTTGTTTTTTCTTTGGAATTCAATATATGAGGGATTTTGTTAGTCTTTTCCCTGCTACTTTCCTCAGTTTCCCATCCCTTTCAAACTTGAAACTTTTTCATGTGTCTCCAATTCTGGGAAAGTTACAGACTAACAGAGCAACAACAGCTTTCCCCTTCATGCCTTTCTAAAACATGTGTATCAGCAATTTGAGTGGTTTGAGCGTTTTTAAAACAAAGTAAGATAAAAATTAAAAGCAACTTTTTTTTTGTCTTCCCTTTGAAACTAATACAGAAAAGATTTGGTTTTGTTTGTTTGGCTTTTCCTGTTTTTCTTTTCACCAGAAAGCTGTTTGTTCTAAAAGTTATCTGTGCATCCAGCAACACACCACAAGCAATGATATGGAAATATTGATAAGAAATACTGATCTTCTTCTTCTTCTTCTTCTTCTTCTTCTTCTTCTTCTTCTTGTTTCCTTTCCATTACTTTTACAGTAAAAACTTCAATCAGTATTGCAATCACTACACATCAGTATTTGGAATATTGCTTTGTTGCCAAAATCTTCAAACAAAGAAGATATGCCCAACAAACATAAGCCCTACAATTAATTTGTAATGACAATATATATTGAATATTTAAGTTATTTTCGGATGTGTTAGACATGCATTTATCTCCAAACAGCTCAGATGTAATTAAGCTGAAGTTATTTACACATAAGAAAACTCAGCAGAGCTGTGTGAATCAGAGCCCCCATGAATGGGACAGACAGTAAGTGTCACATCTTTGCTCCATGTTGGAATTCTTCAGAAAGTTCTTACAAGAAAACCTGGGACCATAAAAATTGTTTTAAAGCACGAAAACAGAATGCTAGAACTTTATCTTTTGTAACTGCTACAGACCACAAAATCCACTTCAAAAAGAAGCCTCATGAAAGCCAACACAATCCCATGGAACTTCTCTGTTTTGACAAAAAGAAATTTTTGGAGAAACTTCACTGGCACACTTCCAAGCAGCTCTCACTGCAAAAACTGATGTATACTTTGACAGTGATAGTAAAGATACAGTTTTGTTCTAAACATCTCTTTTCTCCTCGGGGTGATGTTGCCTCATGTTACAGAGAATAAAAGCAATGACAGCATCAAGTTTAGCTCATAGAAATGCAAGTGTATATTCCAGTTTAGAGTCTGAGGGGTGATGGGAAAGACACTGATAAAATACAGAGGGGAAAAAATCAGCTGAGAAACTGGAAAGGTCTTTTCACCCTACAGAGCATCTACACCAGTGTCTTAGAATGCTGCTGAATCATCAGCAGTATGTGAAAACACCTTTTTTCACCATTCGTCCTGGTTTTGCATGGGAGGAATTTAGAGAAGTTGTGGGGGGAGTAGAAGTGTTCTGAAGGGTTTGTTTTGATTCTTATTACTTTTTTCTTTTAGTTACTGTTAATAAAATTTTCTTTATACCCTTTTAAGGTTTTGAGCCTGCTTTGCCTTTCTCCTAATCCTATCTCCCAGCAGGAAGTGAGTAAACTGGTGATTGGCCAGCACTGAACCCACCACAATCATTGGTGCATTGGCTGGCAAATATAAAAATTGGCGAACCAAAACCACTGCACCATGACAGCACATTTTTCCTTGTAACTTTACCTTTCTACAACATCCTCTCCATTCCAGCAGGTCGAGCTGTCTCTCATCACCAGGTCTCCATCACAAAGCCTTTCTGCTATGGAGGCATAGAAGGTTCGGGACCGCTTCATGTAACTGATGAACTCTCTGCAACGCAGGAAGAACTCATTAAACAACACAACAGCAAACTCAGCCCTTAACTAAACCCCCTGCCAGCCCAACCCTCCATCACATCAAGGCTTTAGAAAATAAGCAATCCAAATTAATTTCTACTTCTAGTGTATTTTTACTCCTTATAGAACATCCAATTTTACTTAGTCCGGTGCCGATACACATAATTACAGAAATAAAGGGTGCTTTTAACACATAGTGTTAACGTGTCTCTCAGTAAATCTGAAAAAAGGCTACACCTACTCGTTATAAACAGATTAAAAAACATTGAGAAAATATCATCACAAAAGGCATGGCCAGTACAGATGACTGTGTATGGAAAAATGTCTTGAGGGCAAACTGCTGCCTGTTTTATAATCTGGTTATAATATATACCTGGCTGAGGTAGCCATAAAAACAAACTAACCAAACAAGTGCTAATTCAGCACCCAACTGAGAGGATTTCAGAATGAGAAATTACCCTGCTGCACTGCTCTAGAAGCCCCTGTTTGGTATGTAGCAAGATTCAGACACAGACTGAGCTAGAGCCATCACTGGGCTCTGTGCCTGTCTCGGAGCTCCCCTGGGCAGCCCAAAGGACTCGTTCTGGTTTGTGGTTTCAGCCTGGCAGGCACTGGAGAGGTGCCTGGGGTACAGCTGGATGGAGCTCAGCACAAACCAGTCAACATTTATCTCTCCTCAGCAGCAACAGGTGCTTCAAACACCCAAGCCCACAGGGAAATACCCATCCCTGACATCTCTCCCCACAGCTATCTTTATACCTTCTTTATACTTTCTCAAAAGTGTTCAACCATCCCATTTACCTTCTGTGATGAAATCCTGCTCTAGATAAATCAGTCATCACATGCTCCTGAGAAACTAATTTAGCCTAATAGAGCAGGAAAGCTGAGATTTAAAGCAAAGAAAAAAAGCAGGAAATTTGGGGGCTTACAAAGAGGTAATCAGCATTTCTACTTCTTGAGTACCAACTTACAAATATGAGCTCTGAGTATTTCTATAGTAAAGCCAGGCCCAGCCAGAACAACCTGGGAGGATCCGTTCCAAAAGGAAACAGAGATGCCAAAGACTTTACAGGTTCTAAATCAGTCTTCTCTGAAAGAGGAAACCAGCACCCTTTTAATAGCTAAAGCTTGCCTGACTCAGCTCAGCCCTAGAGGTTTAAACTCCTTTGCCTTCTCAGCAGAGTGGGGCTCTGACATTTCAAAGCAGTATCTGAGCAAATGCACAATTCTCTGTTCTGACTCTCAGTCTTACTGAGTGAAAATATTTACTTTTCATCATTGTAAAACTAAACACTAGGGGAGAAAATGTAGAGTTTCCCAGTGCCCCACAATGCAAATGCAGCAATCAAAAGTATCCCAGCTCCTAGATTATAGCTGGAGGTGAGCTAGGTGTAGAGACAACAAAGAATGTCACCTTGTTTTCATTCTTACCGAGAGATTTTTTTCAAACTTCTTGATTTGTCATTCTTTGAAGCTTTCAGAGGCAGAGAACTGGAACAGGCCAGGGAGAATAAGCATCAATCAGGATAGGTTGGGGAGTAGGGAAGAAGCAGGAATTCAGGCAAATGAGGAAAAGAAATGAAAAACAAAAGAGAAAAGTAAAAATTACTTGAAAGAAAGGTCATCGAGCACATGCATAGGACAATATAAGAAAATAAATAAGGAGGGAAATTATAATGAGATTTTTGCCAAGTATACATGCAATCAAAATGTCAATTCAATATTGGAAAAAAGTACAACTGAGACAATTTGTCTCAATCATTTTCAAGTAAGAGCAGAATTACAAATGCAGCACACACAGCAGAAAGCTGAAAATAAATTCAGTGGTACTTAAATTAAGTGTAACTGATCCCAAATGGAAGGACTGTAAGTACATGAAGCTGTACAAGAAAACAATGGCAAACAGTTTAGGATGAGAACCATGGGAAGGGGGATACAATCCAGTGGCATTCATGTTCTGGTACAATGAGCAATTTTACTGCCTGTTAATAAATAATATAAATACAGGTATTTTTGCTGTTCTGGGATTGCTGAAAAAACACCTTGTTGTAAAACTGGAGATACAGACTTTCAGGCTACAGTGGAGGAAGAACTGTGGAAATATCCCTGGTGCTTATTTAGAGTTGTTACTGGAGAGAGCAGCCTGAGGCCACGCAGAGGATGCAGCTCTGCCATCCCAGCTCTGGCAGCTGATGGCAGGAGTGGCCACGGGACAGGAGGGACCTGCACTGGCCATCAGGTGAGTGGCACCTGCCTGCAGGAATTCCAACACAGCCACTCAAAAAAACAAATCAACATTTGTAACAGGGAAAATCTGGATCAGCTGAGACTTCAGCCCTGGCCAGTAGTTCATGTGCATCTGACATTAATAAGCTGGTTTGTACTAGCACTTTATTACTCAAATGTTAATAAAATCATGTGATGTGTGACGCAAAGGACAGTTTATTTTAAATGAAATAGATATAATTGACTTCAAACATTCCCAAATAATTCCTAAGTTGTTGACTTTAAGATATATAGAAGCTCTGTAAATTCATGGCATAAAGAAATCCCAGTAAAATATAATTTCAAAGCTTTCTTTCTCCAGTCAGGGACCTAATATGTTGTGGCTCTTTGTTAAACATGTTTTATACACGGCTCTGTAAGCAGTCTGTGCTTAGTGGTTTGAAATGTTCCATGGAGCAGAGATGCTAAAGGCAGGTATTCATCTTTGCTGGGAGACCAGAGCTGACCAGAACAGCTCTTTGTGCTGAACTCAGCAATAACATTCCAATTTACTGAGATTCTGCACATGCCATTTCCATTCCCTGTACCATCATATGGTTTCAATTTTCTTGTCATCTCTATTACATGTTATAGTAACCTCCACATTAAAAAATGACTACAGCAGCAACGCTGCCAGTTCCAGTTAATCCCTGACTACGATTGTGTAATGGTAAAAAAAAATAATAATCAATTTTATGCTTTCCAGTTTAATCATAGGAAATGGTTTCTTGCAAGATCATGCAACATTTATTCAGGTTTCAGCTTCTTTCATTATTGTCCCTGACGCTTAAGTGATGCATGACAAAAAATATGCAGGAATGGAATGCAGAGTCAAATCAAGAGAGATGGGAAATCTCCCAGGAACTCATGAGAGTAAGAGGAGAAGAAAAGGGTTCAACTACTGCAAAAGAGGATGCAGCTGCTCTGTGCATTCAGGGACCTTGCAGATCTGGCTCTGCAGAACAGTGAAGGGTGAGGAGGGCTGGCTTCAACCAGACCCCAAACCCCTGAAGAACCAGGTCAGGCCAAGGGACACCACTGAAGGGACACCACAAGCCCCACCTGTCCTGCAGCAGCAGCCCTGGCTCTGCCCCACAGCTGAAACCAGAGGTTCTCCCACTCCTTGGAAAAGGAACCTGATTTTTCACATGGCCTAGCAGAGACTCAGCACCTCTGGAGCAAGCATCCATCTCTAGCTGTCTGGCACCTCTGAGCAGGTTGTACACAAGACAGGAGAGGCCACTTGGTTGTGGTTTCTCCTCCAGATGTGCCAACAACCACAGAGGCTCTTCTCTCTGAGCTAGGAAATGCTCTGACACGTCAGGGAACAAGCCACAGCCTTTCTGTTTACTTGGGGAGTGTTGGCTCATTCCTTCTCTTTTTCCTTCCTTCCCCAAAAAGGCTGGAGTCATGTTCCAGCCTCCCCTTGAGTGAAAGGATCATTTGGAAGGATGTCTATTGCCCAGACCTACAGACAGGCTCAGCAGGACCAGGGTGACCTTGCACCTGAACTGACAGGAGCTGACATTATTGCCCTCCCTCTCTCAAAACCACCAGAAGGAGGGGCTTCACAAAAGAGTCACATAATTACTCTCATCATCTGGCTCCCCATAGCAATTTTCTGTCACTCCAAGTGCATTTTACACAAGCCACTGCAGAAATTATTTAACCCATGTATTACAGATTTTTATTACCTTCAATTGATTTTTTATTGATATCATATGTGATTAAATGATGGAGAATGAACAACACAGTGATGCAGCCAACCACTGTCTTTCACTCTATGGTTTCCCAATTGTTTCCAAGAAGCAGAAGTACAAGCTTCAGGCAATGTGTTTTAAAGGAAGTTGTGAAGAATAGCTTCAGATTTTCCACTTCTTACTATTTATGGCATATTTCCATCATTCATTTTTGCTGTACCAGCTTTCCACAATACCTATCAACACTGTAATTCAGTAATTTTTCATGCTAATTATATAAGCAGGGACGTAGTTTAGATTTTTCTTGATAAATTAATTTTCAGACCAATTCTAACAAACTGTCTAATTTAGAGAACATTAGTTTATTTTCTATTCCATCTACAAGCCTTACATTTTAAAAGGTCAATATCCAAATAATTCTAGATGGTTGGGAAGGGGAGCAGGCAGATCACAGGTGAGAAAGAGCAGCTTTCATAACATTGAACACACGATCTGCAACTTTTTAAGAGATCACCTGTTGGCAGGTTGGCAATTCTGGCTTTTGGGCTGCCAGTGTTATACCCCAGCCAAATCAGTGAGTTACACAGAAGACGGCCCAGGGCTCTGTGCTGTTAAAAACCTATTTCAGTAATTATACTATAACTGTTCTTTGGATTTTTACTGCTGAAGTTATTAATTTAATTTCTGCAATGCTCCTTTTTTTTGATTTGCATGGTAAAAATTGATTAATTCCAAGCACTAGCACAAACTGTTATGGTTTGCCTTTACATTGCAAAAGGAAAAAAAATTATCACAATCACTCAAAAAAACTTCACTTGCTGTTATTACTTTTATATTTTAAAACAGTGTTTATTCCATTCATGCAGCTGAGATTAAAAAAGAAATGGATAAAAATCTCATGTTAACAAGTGAAATGCCAGAACCCAGTCTGCAGGAATTTTAACATTTAACAATTTAAACATTGCTCCAGACATCCACTTATCCAACAGAGATACCCATGGACTGCCTGGGCAGTTTAGATGCTGCTTTTGGACAGAGATAAACCCAAAACAACTCCACTGATGGAGCTTATTCCAGATTACCTCTGCTCCTACAAAGGATAAGGTGCCAGCCAGAAACAGGCACTGCGAGTTTATGGGCAGTTTGCTCTGACATCTACTAATGTATCATGACTGGGATTGCAAAAACATCCTCTCCTAGAATGTACAGAAAGCCAATTCAGGAGCTACACAAGGTAAAGTGACAGAAAATCTCAGGAGATCTGGGAGCAGGGACACTCCCAGGCCAGTGGCAGTACTGAGCTGCAGGTGTCTCACATAGGGCACAGCTGAAGAACAGGAGCCAAGATGGACACAAGAAGCCTAAAAAACTCCTTCAGCTCTTTGTTATGTAACCAATCAATGAGATTCCAAAGGATCTCATCATTCCTGCCCAGTCCAGGGCAATCAGGAACTGAGTTGGTGTCAGGGCAATGAAGCTTTCCTTTTCACCCCTTCCTCCTTCCACTTCAGCCCCTGGATAAGCTCATGTCCTTACAGACCTGGGCAGTTACATTTTAAGTACTTTAGACTCAGCTGTGGAAATCAGTTTCCTCAGACTTTGTAGAGGAAAAGCTTTCACCATTTTCACTGAAGGTTTCTGGAAATAATGAACACCTTGGTGTTAAGCAATGATACCAAGCCTGGCCTTTCTTGCAGAGACCCAGTGTGACCCACAGAGTCACCTGTGTGACTGCCAGTGGTGGCAGTGGCTGGAGAGCACACAGAGGGGGTGACAGAGCTGTGGCTTTGCCTTGAACAGTGCAAAGAACCAACAGCACAAATTGTGAGGCTGAGGGCTTGTTTCAAAGCAACTGCAGCCTAGGGTTACCTTCTTTTATTGTTCAGGCTGGTGTGAGCCATCACAAATGTCTGGGTTCCAGTCACTTCCTTCACTGGCACAATATTGGCTGATGACAGGTTGCCTTCATGCTGTTTGGGCTGTCCACACACTTTATCAACCTGTAAGAAAGGGAGGGAAAGGGAAACAGGTTGTGAGGGAAAAAATAAGATTTACAACCCCAGAAAAGTCTGCCTGTTCCTTGTTGTCTGTGTTCACTGCACAGGACACTGTTGAAGGATTCTTCCTTCAAGCAGCTGGGAAGAACTGCCCTGCAAAAGAAGGAGCAAATTCCAAGGCAGGGCAAAGAACACCAGAAAGTCATCAGTCATGGATTTCCCAGTGGCTACCTGGGCTACAGCACACTTGGAGAGGCTGAAGTAATGCCTGATGAAGTATTGGCAAACTAAGCTTTGATTTAGAAACACACCTGGAGCTTAAAGCTACACGGATTTTGGTGGAACATCTGCCTCATGTATAAGGAACAGAGTTTATCTGGAGTTTGAAGGGGCTTGTAATCAACAGATAACCAATTCTTCCAGCCTTTAACCAGGTCATGTAACATCACTCAGTCCTCATTGCCACTCCTGAAGCCCCTCCTAAGGATTTAGTATCAGTCCAGGAGAAAGCAAGCTTGTGTTTTATCCTTTCTGCACTGTGGATCTGGCACTGCTTGTGTATCCTGACACATTTATTTGCTGTAACAGCTATAAGTGACAAGAGGAAGACAAGTCTCTTCCCTTTCTAATCCACAAATGAGTAACCTGTGATGTTTTACCCACACTTAAATCCCCAAACAACCATGAAGAGACCACAAAGGGAAACCTACTCTGGGCATGGTACCAGCAATGACCTGAATCACACAGAATCCATCATCCCACACAGCCCTGGGTTTGGTATCCCTTCCTCAAGGTCCCACAGTAACCAGCCAGGGTGAGATGGATTCTTACTGCTCTGTGCCCTTTCCTGCACCCTTAGAGCCTTTGCAAGTCTGCTGAGTGTTTCAGCCCACAGATGACTTCAGGTACCTTTTCTGTCTCTTTGCACCACGATGAAGCAGATGGCAGCACCAGCACAGGACAATTTTCTCTGCCTTAGCCCATTTCCTCCTGGAGAACCACAACTATGTGAAGCTAAGACATCCTCCTCTGAAAGAACAGGCAAACAATGTGGAAAACTGGAAGCTCTGTAGGCATGAGAGTTACTGTCAGCTGTAGTTGTTTGACTTCCAGCCCAGTCCAGTGTAATGTGCTGTGAAGAACCTAAAACTGCAGCAATGGAATGGGAACATACTGGATTAATCCTGACACATCTCCAGCAGCAGGGTGGGAGCCAGCTGCCTCACTCAACACCACACACTGTGCACACTGGTCTGGTCTCAGCAGGGACTAGCACAGTCCTGTTTTAAACTACAGCTTTGGGAAATCAAATAGTCCGTTCCAGTCCCTTCTAAGCTTATGAAAAGGAGAAGAAAACACTCTGTGCAAATGAAAATATGAAACAAGAAAGCCTTTTGAACCCTTTAGAGCTGGACAGAGGGTATGACACAGCTGGAGCACATTCCTGCACAGGAGGCTTTCTCCCCTGCACCCCAGGCTGCCCAGCTCCCCTACAGCACACAGACCCCAACTCCCAGCAAAGGTCTCTGCAAAATCCAACTCAGATTTCACCATGTCACTAAAGTTCATGTCTTCAAATTACATACACCTCAAGTCTTGTCACTATGCATTTGAGACTGTTTTACCAACTAAAATCAGAGTGGTTTGCAAAAACAGTGTGGTTCTCATATACATGACCGATGAAGAACTCCCAAGTTATTTTGTTTTTCCTGAAAGAAGATTCAAAGATACTGAAGTCATCATTTCTGTTGTGAATCAACAGTTTAAGCATCCAACTGAAAACACCAACTTTGTTTTGATTTGAATTTTTGGCACTACAGAAATGACTCTTTAGATTGCCCAGGTTTCAGTATTTCCTATGCCAAACCTACACTTTAGGAATTTCTTTCTAAGCAGTAGTAACAGTTTCTTGCATATCAAACAAAACCACACATATTTGAAAGAAAAAAAATTCTCACTGGAAAATTTTAACAAGCTCTGCTCTATTAAGAATAAAGTTGTTAAATAAAAGGGCAAATCACACTTCTTTTATCACAGAGGCCTTTCAATGTCTTTCTTCTGAGCCAGCACCCCCAGCTGGTCCCAGGCCAGGCAGTTCCAGCAGCCCCTGTTGGGGGTTATCCCTGTTTGGCACATTTGTTTCAGATTCTGAATAAGTTAAACAGAAATCTAACTTTTTTTTTTTTTTTTTTTTTTTTTTAAATGTGGACTTATTTTCACATCTCTCCAACATAAGTATTTTTCTGCAAACTAAAACAACAGAAAAGCCTGAATTTTACCACCTAATTTGAGCAGTCACAAAGATGATGTCACAATTGAGAACACTCGTGTATGAAAAACTATAAAAAATAAGATAGTGCTGTGCAAATTGAAAAGCATGAAGCATGCCATTAAAAACCCAAAAAGGTTTTTTAACATCTGCAATCTCTGCAACAAGTTTCCTGTGTGTTAGCAGTGAGGGCCACAGAGTTTCCCTCCCATCCTAAGGGCTCCACAGAACTGCAGTACCACTTTAACCCAGAGCTCCTGAATCAACCCCCACCCAGAGGAAAATCAGTGCACCTGGAAATGGGGACTGAAATGCCAAATTAATTAATTATTTTTATATTAATTAACTTAAAATTAATTTTTAAATTAAATTTATTTACATTTAATTTTACATTAGTTAATTTTTCTTATCCTAATTTCAAGGTGTAGGACTAAGAATAATCAGGAATCAACATAAAGAATGGCTGAGCCCATTTTTTGGGTTTTTAAATTTAAAATAAGTCTGCCAATCTTAAATTGCAAAGTGACAGAAAATCATCCTTTGCTAATGGCAGGACCCTCTTGTAATTTTTCTTCTCTCTGCCATGATATTTAAGCTTATCTTCTAACAGTGAACATCTACGGGTGAAAACTGGTATTCCCCCTACCTTGTTACCTTCTGAATCCTCAATCATGTTTTACAGTTCTAACATATTAAAGCTTTTTTCTTACATAGCAATGATTCTTCTTAAATAGCTGTTTTCCTGGCAATAGCTACATTTTTTCTGCTGTGAATTTTTCTTGATAATGAAAAGCAGAATCACATATATACACATTTTTGACCTCTTACTATTTGTTATTTAAAAGAATGACTATTTACAATTATTACAGAGGCTTAACAAAATAAATGGAAAAATTCTCATCCAGAATCTTCTTGAACTCTTACAGCTTGAGTAACCTTAAACATTGAGGTCATATTTAATACATTTGATATAATCAAACATGGGAAAAAATGTCATGCCCTTCTGGATACCAAGAGAATCTTATCTCTCTAAAGCAGGAGACCTTTTCACTAGTCCAGAACAGTAATTTTCTTTGATTCTGTAATGGGAAGATTAGTTTTAAAGTACAAGATTTTCCCAGTGAGGGGCTTTGAGTTGTTATTATGAAAGCACTGACCCGTTTGCCTGCAGGTTCCTGTCCCTGGATGTGTGCCCAGCTCTGCAGAACCCCTCTGCCAAATGACACCCCCAGCCCTGCCATGCCCAAGTGCCACAAACACCCTCCAGAGCAGAACTGGAGCTTGCTCTCATTCAGGTTCCAGCTGCCAAGTTTGGAGTGAAGTGAGGAAGGGAGAAACACTGAATTATGTGGTCTGAGTTTCCAGACCTGTCTGTTCACCAGGAGCTTTCACTTCCTCAGGGTCACAGATGTCCCTGCATCACTCCATCACCCACACTAAACCAACCAGTATCATTTGTGATTTTATGCTGCCCAAGCATCAACCAGAGTTCACTCTGGAAACACAGAATCCTCTCCTTGGGGCGGCTGTCACCTGCTACCAGAGCATTGTTGTAAAATACTCATTTCCAGTGCTCAGAAGCTGAGTGGGAACCCACATGATAAAATACAAGTCAGGGCTCATAGCTCATTGCCACTGCCTCTATCTTATTGAACAAAATCAGACAAGAGAACAAATAACCTCTGATTTTGCCTTCTTTTAAATATTCTCTCCCTTATGGAACATGTTTCCTATTAGGAGCATTTTGCTGGTAGCAGAGTTCAGCAATACATAAGCAAACTAAGGGATTATTAATTCATTTTCCTACAGGAATATGTTGGCTTTCACTCAGGAGGGAAGCATTCTCTTCTCTCTTATCTTGAATCTACTGAATAGTTCAATTTCAATTAATTTCCTACAAATCTGAAATCTGGCAGTTAGAGAAGTTGACCCTTAGATAGTAGAGACAGCTCCAAGGAGAAAAGCATTATGAATTCCTCAGGGGCTGAAAAACCTTGTGTCAACCTTCACACTTAGACATCAGAGAATTCAGCCACAGAACTTAAATCCATAAAAAATAAGGTTCTGTGTGTTCTGTCAGTGGCAGAAGAGATTCAGGTACCAACACTGGGCACAGGGAGTGGACAAATTCTGCAGCAGTTTTTCAAATGATCAAATTCTACACCAGATAAAAGTACAAATGATGAGAATTGGAGCACTGTTCTGTAACACCATTAACAAAGAGTGCTGAGATAACCTGTCCTGGGCATGCCACAAAGCTGCATATGAATGCACACACAGAGCCTTTGTTCACAGGGAGAACAGGCAAGAATTCCTATAAAAATGTAAAATAAATGCTTTCCGTGACCACCAGGCATTTCAAGAATTCTACCCAGTTTGTATCTAACAAACTTTTACCATAAATTACAGCACTGTTATTTTCTGCTCCCAGTGGCTTTTAAAATTTCACTTTTTTGGTCAGTGTATCAAACTATCCACAGTGCATCTCAAGAGCTAGAATCTTTTAAACACACACAAGTGAGTAACTTTGTCTATTTTGTTAGGATTTTTTCAAAATATTTTTGTTCTAACTGTATATATATTTACCCAGCTGAAAAGAGAAGTTGTTATTATTTAAAAAGCCAAAACAAAATACCAGCAGCACCTGAGAGGTCAAATGATATCTCCCATTCTCCTGCACAATCCCCCCTAGATTCAGAACTAATCTTCCCTGGCCTTTGTTACTTGTGACATT